ATTCAGGATCCAGTGCATGCCCAGTACTTACCAACAGTGCATAACAGACGTGACCGATCGCCAAAGCGGCTAAAGAGCCAATCAGTGGTGAAGAGGATAAATGTAAAAAAAGCAGCACTTGTGGCACATGATTCACTCATATTAATGTACCTGCATTGTTTATCTAATTACTGTACTGTACTGTATAATCAGCATGCATGTTATATCTAAAAAAAAAAAAAATCAGAGGCATATCTTCTTTATCTCAAAATCTTGGTGCATCCTTCACTGATAGCACTGACCCTGTAGCATTTAAAAATCATGAACTTTAAAGAAAACAATTAATTTTCTAACTGGGGTAACTTACTTTTCTATACAGTATACTGTACAGTACATTATCTTCTTTTTCCCACTTACTTACTGTTACAACAACCATATATGACCTCAGCAGGAATACTCTACTATAATACAGTACAGTACCGTATAAAGTAAAAAAATAATAACATACTGTACTGTATATGGTATAACCAAGATTAATAGAGTTGCAAACTTTGTATTATGTCACTATGTTTAATGATCTTATGTAGTTAAGATAAAATTGTGCGAGACTAACTAATTATATATCAGATGGATCGCCATGTAATATTATGAATGCCTTTATCTCAGCAGGTTTTGACCACATCAATAAATATTGAGAGCGTCAAAAGGCGGGTTTCAATCATTCCCTCCAACTTGCCCGTCACCTTTCCATCCTTAACTAAGGCGGTTGCGGCGATAACACGTAATATATCCTCAATAACCTATGCATCTTGATCTACCCTGATTAGTTATGTTGATACTAAGTTTGATCACCGTGTCATTTAAATTTTCACTGCCCTGATTAATTTTGAAAATGAACATAGCAATTTAGGATTACTGGATTATGGCATCCAGTGCAGTCAATTGATTTAAAAAAATCTCACTCCACAGACAGTATTTGACTTTTCATCCCTAATAAAATTTATTCTTCCATTAACCTACTACTGTACTGTAAATCTAACCCATTTAACCTAATCAATCCTACTGCACAAACCAGATACAGTATTAACTCCAGTACTAATGAAAGTGAGCGCAAGGAAATATTAGGCGCAAATGAATAACATGTTAAAGATTTCCCTCATTATTCAACTTGCTTTACCAAAATCCAATAAAAAAATAAAATGTTAACTGTAAATTTCAATGTAGTGTTCTAAATACATCCGCATGTATTTCACACCACAAAACTATATAAAATACCGTACAGTACAGGAACTAGAAATATAAATCAGATACAGCGTACAGTAGATCCAGGTACAATATTGCACACCTGGACCATAATGCATAAAATAAACATCAAATAGCCACTATAAAACGTATCCATCAATAACTCCCTATTTCTTCACAGCTTCAAGGTGCATTCTGACGAGTTTAATACAGTAGCTACCTGTGTCAATTATCAGTGGTCTTCAATCTGATTACACAATTCTAAAGGCAATTTAATACATTTTTTTTCACTTTTTCTTTGTTACCTCACCATATTTGTTCTCTATGTATTAATTCTAACATCCATAATAATCCTACTAAAAAATTAACGATATAAAGTGGCGACCCTCTCCTTAACAACCAACCTATCCCTGGATGGATATACAGTACTGCATATTTCTTGTATTACGTACAGTGTTAGGTTCCGTTAGGTAAGTTTGTATGACAAGGAAGGACGAAAGGAATGTCACTATTCACTGGCTTGGAAACTTTCTATCACTTAGCATCTGAGGTCAGTCAGTTGGTCGGTGTGCAATGTTTTCATCAACAGTCACACACGCAACATGGCATTGATCACACTGCAGGAGGGGTGAGAGCAGTGTATTTTTAGGGACAAACTCAGGACAAAACTTGAATAGAAAACTGCCATTCCTCCACCCAATTTGCTTTAGTCTTGATGTAAGAAATAAGTATTCTTCTATAAATATTTTTCGTTAGGTGGCCGGATAACCCGGACCATTGTCGTTAAATATTACTACCAAACATCAGACACAAACACCTCGGCCAATTTTCCACTTAAAAGAAGCAAATTTTTAAGTCACATAACACTTACACTGTATACCACTACTGATTATTGTACATATCTCTCTTTCTCAATCCTCATGACCCGTTCCCAATCAGGAATATGCCACACAGGTACCACCACACCACCTCCCCAAATCTGTTTCTGTTAACTCCCTCATAGTCAGCGTTAGAAGGGAACAAACTATAAAGCTTAGGATAAAAATTAATATCTTACTTTAATCAAATTAATATTAGTTTGTAACATGAGGTTTAAATATCCAGAAAAATATGGTCATAACCTCAACAGATTAAGGCTTATTTTAACTAACTCCAAGTTTATAATCAATACTAGGTGTTGGTAAACGATATAAATTAGTAGAATATAAATTTCTCTAACCTTCAGCCTATCACATACAGTATATTAAAATACAACGTTTCTATATAAAGGAAAATAATATCACCACTTAGGTTTGGTCTAGCTCACTACATGTTTACAGTCAATATTGGAGAAGGGTAAACTGCAAGAATTAATTATATACGTGTGTAACTATAATGTCTTCTTCACATATATAGTGTATAATATGGGGCTTTAAACCAGATGATAACCACGATATATGCCTCCCAGATCCTCCCCCCTCCTCTTACATTAACAGAGACATTCCCGGCCTGGGGTGCCTTACCTTGCTATTCTCTGGACTCGGCTGGAATTCTGATGCCAGTGAGAGGCTAAAGACTCCCTCAGGTGTAGTGTGAAAGAGCAGTAAAGTCAGTAAATAAGGTAGTGTGGTCGCCCGCAGCACCACCAACAAGCACAACAATAACAAACGTCTTATATGGCGTCATCGGCTGCCAGGTCACGTGACTCACAGCTTCACCCACCTGACAGTAGATGGTGGGAGCCGCGCTACTGCTCTCAAATATGGACAAATTACCCTTATCTCAGTGGCCAATTAGACATAATGCTCTTCCTTGTTGCCATATCCACCCATTGGTAGGTGTTAGACCGTGTTATAGCTGTGGAGATGTCTGTCTCACGTCACGCACTCTCGTCTCTGATCAACTAAGGTCATTATCTCCGAGCAAATTACATTTTCCGAAAGACCTAATTACTATTATCAGTGCACTGTCATTATCGCGCGTGTTGGATAATGTTATATTAGCGATATGGTGTGTTGTTCTGATTCTTATCACATAATAATGTCTGTTTGATCACCTAGGAATATATAGCTGTGAAACTAGACATATTCTATTCATTTAAATAACCAATTAACTCTATAAATAACAACGTGTTATCGTGTGTGAGTACTGTAGAAATAATGCGGGTGATATGGTGTAGCTGGTACCTGTGTTATGTATAGTGTATTCGACTGCCACATCATGTTTTGCACCAAAATTAATATTTCTCAATTAAAAGTTTTCTTCTACGGATAATCATGTTAACAATGTACTTAATGGAGAGTTTATTGAACAATTTAAGTCTCAGCATCGTCAGTTGAACAAAAGTTATTGTCATTTTTAAGATGTAAACGCTATTACATAATTTACATGCTGGCTGCGTGCCAATTATGTAACTTAGTTTTCCTCCTGTGAGAACCTTGTTACCTTACCTCACTGTACAATACATAACACAATGTAACCGACACGACCACCATTCTTGAAGATTGACAAAATACTCCATATAACTAAACACACAACATTTCTCTAACTCTCGGTAAAATGTTATATCGATCATCGTATCTATACAAGAATAAATTAATTGTTGGTGGAGTGAGATTAACCACAGTTGTTAATTTACTGTACACATGAGGGGGCGGGGATGAGGGGGGGGGGTTCATTAAATGTATCACAGTGTTTCATAAGTGTTTTAGGTGGAGGTGTAACCAATTGAGGATGTTCTTAAAAAGATAAATAAATTAAAGAAAACAAAATCCCCAGGGCCGGATGAATTTTTCCCTCGAGTTTTGAAAGAGTGTAAGGAACAGATTAGCGGACCCCTTGTAAATTTATTTACAAAATCTTTAGACACGGGAGTTGTGCCAGACTTGTGGAAACAGGCAAATGTAGTACCCATGCACAGGCCAACAGGTCTATTGCACTCCTTATTTTCTTATGTTCTTATGTTCAGTCACTGATGGATGAGTAGCCTAGTTTAAACCAATAATTTGAGCAAAAATAAACTGAACGTCAACCAGACACACATGTAATTATCCTCTGCAACGTAAACATGTTATATAAGTCAACACGTACAGCTTTTTTTTTCCCTGTACATTTTTTCAGTCATGTTAGCCCTGACAATCTCTTCCTCGACAGTCCTTAACACGATCCTCTAATGTTATAATGTTATGTTAGAGCAAATTAGGCTAAGTCATTAAATTAAACGTCTTGAAAATATAGCCGTGTGGTGTTGTGTACTAGTGTGTTTGTTTATTTGTGAGGCTGATTAAATTAAGCAATTAAGGTTCAACAGGTTAACTAAATTATAACACTAGTCTCTGGACGGCGAGGGATAAAACCAGTCTTCACCCTTTGTATCTGATCGTCTGTAACAGATCTCTCCAATACTTACACAAATAGTAAAAATAATATCATAGAAAATGTAATATTTCGAGCAGATTTAGGCTCAGTTATAAAAAAACTAGTGTGGGTGTTTGCTAGGCTATAAATATCCCGTGTCATCAACCTGGGTTTTTATATAGCGAGGGAATAAGAGGTTACTGCGTCATACACTGACGTCTTGGAACTCAATAATGCATAATATTAGTAACGTCTAACAGCACACGCTAACAATGATTTTCAATGGGTAAGTTGTAAGCCTTTTAATTATAGCCTGACTGTTAAAATATCAAGTTAAAGAGACGAATTCTTCAGAATATACGAGAGACCAAGTTTTTATTGTAGTGAAAAAATGAGACGTCAACGCATGCGCCCTATTGATCTCGATGCTGACGTAGTTGTTGCCACGACTATAGGATCGATGGCTCGACTCTTCTCTCATTCACTACCCACACCTGGATCCACTGACCGCACGCCTTCCTTTCCTTCGGCTGCTATCTGAGATCTGGAAACCTGTCGTACACTAAGGGAACATTTACATAACCTGTGCTTAAAGAAGTTAGAATTTACATCGCCAAGGAAAAATAACGAAGGAAGAGTTTGCAATTTAAGTGTGTGAACCCAGTGAGGGGAACCTAACCATGTTTTGGTTACGACTGGCTGCTGCCATATGTTGCTTCACGTGTTTGTACGCTCGTAGGTTTCCCTCTTACGATTATTTCGATGACAGATTCCTCCTCCAGATGAAGAACCTCCTGGGTGACCGTGAAGCTGGGAAGGTGAGTTGATCCAGTGACAATGACAGATATAACGAACCAAAGCGTCGCAAATGTAGTACAGGTACAGCACAATATATATGCCTCACAAAATACCTTTCACTTGGGAATATACAGTACAAAATTACATGTTTTTACCGAGGATGAGAGTTGATTTGGTCAAATTTAGTGATTTTTTTTACTATTCTTATATGCTTGATTTAACCATATGTTTATCTTTTATAAGAAATATATATTGACCAAAATGGAAATAAGTATTTTGAATTATTACTAGAGTCAACATTGGTTAAATCACCTTAATTCGCCCTTGAACGCCTGGTCTACCTGTGTATATATTGAGAAAAATAAATACAAATCTTGTTCGACGATTTTACTTGGTCTATCGCTACCACTTCCAACACCTGTACGTAATTTGCATTCATGACGACGCAACAGCTGGTGTGGGTGTGGGTGGGTCACTAGATATTTACACCTCAGAGAAGAGCAAGACAAATGTACAGTAGAGAACGACAGAATATATTGGAACAAGAAATATTTAGTTCCACTGTATTCGTCTACAAAGTGAATCTTATCTCTACACCACCATATTCAGAGTTCAGTGAAATTATATACGTGTAAAATCTTCTTCTGTGAATAGAACATTTCGACGTTTGTAAAATAATTAAACAATCAAGTAATGAATGCAAGTCGATCACTATGTTGGCTTGATATTTGAATATGATGATGAGTAGAATTTATTTAATGTGCTTTATTAAAAATATTATAATGGTACATGTTGAAGGGATAACATTAAAGGTTGAGAATTGAAATTATTTTGGGAACTGTGTGTGTGTGTGTGTGTGTGTGTGTGTCAAGACAATACAGATGGTCTTTAGCTGGTCTTGGGGTCTCTAGTACACACCATAGTGGTCTCTATTACACAACATAATGGTCTCTAGCTGTGTTTTCACGTTTAATGTACAGTTCTCTTCCACCAACCTTATCACCGATGACCTCTTGACCTCCTGCAGGGCGTGATCCCAGCGAGCCGTCTGCAAGAGGATCGAAGCTGGCAGCCCAAAGTGAACCTGGGTCAGGTGTCAGGAGTGTCCTTCGATCCTGAGGGACGACCTGTCTTCTTCCACAGGAGCATACGGATCTGGGACTCCAAGTAAGTATCACTCAGGTATCACCCAGGTATTACTCAGGTATCGCCCAGGTATTCACGTCAATAAAAGTCGGTCCCATTTGTTTGTATTTCTGTAACGTGAGATTATATTAATTATCGATAAGGACAGGTTACATTCATATTACAAATTTACAGTAAATTAATTTTATTTGTGAGTTAGAGATAACATAGATAATAATGTCTAATATTTACTACATAATGCAGGAGGTCAAGATGTCATCGGTGATAAGGTTGGTGGAAGAGAACTGTACATTAAACGTGAAAACGCCGTGTAATAGAAAATGACGTTTTTATTGATACGAGATTATCAATTGAAAAGGGTGAATTATTATTTACAAACATCAATTAATTTGTATTTGGTGAGTCTGTTTACATACGAGATAATGATGGTGTATAGTAAGTTACCTGGACATTAATTCATTCTCTCTGGTGGGTTTCAGTACATTCAACGCGACGAACCACTTCCAGGGAGGAGGGCCCCTGCAGGAGGATGTGGTGGTGGTGCTGGAACCTGACACTGGTGATGTCATCCGCTCCTGGGGCCACGGTCGGTTCCTCCTCCCTCATGGCATCACCGTCGACGATAAGGGAAACACTTGGCTCACTGATGTAGGCCTCCACCAGGTGTTTAAGGTGAGGCATACTTCTTCAGGCAGGTAATGTAGGTAATGCCTCTTGTTATTAGACATTTTATGAGGTAGAATATCGAAAGTCAACTCCATATTTAAAAACCTGGAAGAACTTGTATATAATTAAGGAGTATTTTGATAAATTAAGATCAATGGTGTTGTTGGTTCAGCAGAAATATTTGTTGGTTGTTTGCTTCTGTGCTGTAACAAATAAAGTCATTAAACATGTACTCTGCTTCATATATATACCTATACACTTAAGAATACCTCACCTTTACAGTTCGCTCCTGAAAGTGAGGAACCAGAACTGACATTAGGCGAGGCTCAAGTCCCAGGGAGTGACGACAGGCACCTTTGTAAGCCCACTAATGTAGCTGTAGCCTCCTCTGGGGACTTCTTCGTGGGTGACGGCTACTGCAACGCTCGCATCCTTCGCTTCTCTCCTGACGGAACACTCAAAGATCAGTTCGGTCACCAAGGTCAGTTTATACACCGACATGAACCAATATTTTCTGTTCAATATATCAGATCCACGTCACATCCTCACGATTATCTGATACAAGTGTTAAATATACCGCTATGTATTATTCACTCGTACAGTATTACACGATCATAAATAAGTTAGGTTGGGTTGGATTAGACTGAGATTATATAGACTGGTAATACATAGATTGGTAATATATATACAATAGACTGGTAATACATAGATTGGTATTATATAGACAGACTGGTAATATATAAACAGACTGGTAATATATAGATAATGTTGGTGATACAGGAAGCGACGGCAGCCCATCGTCCCTGTTCGTGCCCCATGGACTGGCATTGGATGAGTCCCGTGACCTGCTGTGTGTGGCTGATCGGGAGAACCATCGGGTAGTGTGCATCAGTGCGGGACTCCTGAATGACAAGAACTTCGGCGAGCCCTTCATGACCCTTCAGGGACCTAACCGTGGCCGAGTCTTTGATATTGCAATCCATAGTTAGTTGTTATGTCTCTCCATGTTATTTATACCTCAGACATTAAGTTATAATTGGTCTAGGGGCCATTTGACCACCATTTTATGTATACATCAATGGATACACAAATGAAGGTGTTAACTACTGACGAAGCACTAACCTGAGCTTCCTCCTCCAGGTGGTAGGTTGGTGGGTGTGAGTGGCAGTGATGTGGAGGGCGGTGCTACAGGTTTCACAGCTGACCTCAGTAATGGTGACCTCCTCGATATCTGGGGACCTATAACAGTAAGTTTCCTGTATGACCTCAAATGGTAAGAGGTCAAGTGTTTTTGTTTTTATTAATATTACGGATTATGTGATGATTAGTCTCTTCCGAACTTGATGCTACCTGGAGTCAGCTAAGGTTAGGTATAATATTTCTCCCTATTTCCACCCTACTGAGTGTGACAATTCTCTTCAGGGTTTCCACAATCCTCACTCCATCGCCGTGAGTCAGAATGGCCGGATTATTTACGTCGGTGACATCAACCCAAATCAAGTGTGGAAGTTCATCGTGGATAACGCAACAGGGGTGTGAGAGGCTGTGAAAGCACTAGTGTTGGGTATTGAGTGACTCTACCATCACCATCAGCAGCAGCGACAAGACCCACTATACTGCCTCCGACAACCTCCTCAACACGCAGTTCTTCGTACAGTGAAGGATGACCTGGTTTATGATTCTCTCTGTATTACTTAAAACTCCGTTAGTTGAGGACCAATTTCAGTATTGTATAACTACGTGACCCAACTTGTAATGATCGCCACATAACGTTAGCCAGAGCTGTGAGAGGCAGGTAGAAACACGTGAATTATCCATTTATCTCCAAGTATACTAATTAACACAGGTATTGATGTACTCCATGTGTGGAAGACGAACTTGGAGACGTTTATCACAGTATATGAAGGTTTTCCCCCTATATAATCAGTGGTTTAGGAAGCCCTGGTGGCGGCATAATCAGAGTGAGAATATCAAGTTTCTCTCACAGTTTAGATGTGTAGAATATCCTTGCTGCAAAGTAGAACCCCTCTTGCTGAAGAACCCGCAACACAAGGCTCTATATATACACGTCTCTTCGCCTACTGCCTTGACATCACTCACTATTACGTGCAGTTTGTTTACGTTTTTTTTGCACTGCACAATAAACAAAGCTCGTATGTCGTCAGAGTTGCAGGGTGGACGTGTGTATGTTAAGGGCTGCTGTAGGGGGGTGAGGGAAGACTGTGACAGCTTCCCGGTGATCACGAGGCCTCCTCTCATACCTAACGCGAAGGCCTCCTGGTCAGGGTATTATATTTACAAGTATAAGATTATATATAGAACTAACTTATAATATTACATAAGCTATAACTGACAGTATATATATATTTATCGTATTGACTCATTAAATCCGGGTTGGGTGAGGAAGGTTGCCTGTCAGGGAACATGAGACGTCTAAGACCAGTTGAGACCCAAGACCACAACAGGTGTATTTAGTATCAGTATTATGACAAATGAGCCCAAGGTACCGAGTATTATTATATTATAGTGGATCGGTGATGAAGCAGAGGTGAACAGTGCCAAGGTGAACAACCAGGGAGAACATCTGTGGATTAGAGAACACGGTTGGGTGGCAGGGACTGAGTGGCTGAAACGAGAACATATTGTTACTTTATCACTGGTGTACTTAAGGAAGGCGATACTCTATTGCTACTTGATGTATAGTCTTGGCATGGGTGATGAAGATGGCATTGTGTTAGGTCGGTGAGAACGTCAGGGTGACAGAGTAAAATATGATCCTTTTATTTACTTCAAGTGTAGGTTTCAAGAGTGACAGAAGTGGCAGAATGAGGCATCGTCGTTCACTGAGAGAGTCGTGGTTGTCTTAAGTTGTCTACAGGAGAGGTGTAGTAAAGCCCTTCACCCCCCCATGTTCACGTAGGGTGTTGTAGTACACTGAGTGGTGTGGTACCTCCTCTCCCTCTACAGCCACCCTCCAGAACACCTCCTTCTGTAGATGAGTGTCGTGGATACTCTCTTTAGGACGGTCACTATCTCGGGAAAATTCTGGTCTGCCTGTAATAGATTGTTACATCTTTATCTATCACGTATGACCCTACATGACCTTACAGGTGACCTCGGCTGGTGCTGGATGCCGAATTTACACGTTTGAATCTTGGCATCTGACACCAGGTGGGAAGTTTACCACACACAATGGTGGCTGGACACTGACCCACAAACTAGCACAATAATGATAAGTCCGCATGTATTATTAGCAAACAATTAATAGGGATGTGAAGTAGGTATAGTGTATAGGCAGATACATATTCTTGTAGGAGGTAAAGGAAGAAGGCGACCAAGTAATCCATTATGGTGAGGTGTGGGCAGTATACCGAGGATCATGATTGAACACGTCTCATAAATTAACTTTTAATTTAACCAAACAGATCTATATTTTATAACCCGATATAGGGATCATGCTGTAAGTTTAATCCATTATTTATGATAATCTTTAACATCACAAAAATACAAAAAAACATGATATTAGAATTAAATAAATTATATGTTATTGATCTGAGACGAGGATATGTATAGTATAGTTATTGTGTACATAAGGAGGAAGCTAGGAGTTAATGCTATATCAATAATTAATAAACGTTTGCTCAAAGTATGGAGCTTAATTCAACTATATCACATAATATAATCTTAGTTAAAATATATATCTACTACCTTGTGTGATAATTATATACACAAACTCTCCCGTGTTAATCTTACATATACAACATTTCTTTATCATTGTGTTAAATATCTGTTATATTCTGAGTCCATAAGATTGAACTATTCCTTATGTAACAATTCAGACAAACTGTTTCATTGACTACTATGCAAATAATGAGTGGGGAGTGTCAGGTTGTAGCAGGTCTTGTTGTGGCTGGAACACACACACCCACACACACACACACACCCACACACACACACACACACACACACCTGGGGACCTGCTAGTGGAGTCTGTATGAATGAGTTACAGATCAAATGGGGTCCCAGTTCTAATGGGCCCCAGATATCTAACCTAAACATCGGGCTTGGGGTCCATTTAGAGTAGACTTTTAGAACTGGCCCACTGTGATCGATGCCCATTAAGACTTAAGCTCCATAAAAGTGGTGCCCCATTAGAACGAGGCCAAAGTGTTAATGGTTTGTGTGGGGGGGGGCGAGCTGACCAGCCAGACACCATGTAGGAACATTGAATTGCCATAACATTTCAGTAAAGACATTTAGTTTATCATGTTAATATGTTTTCTCATAGTGACCCTAACCTAACTTAACCTGACCTAATCTAACCTAACCACCAACACTACCTTCTCTCTTAATATCATTTACCACCACACAAGTAAATAAAGACATAATAAACATTCAATAATATTTTTTATCACGGTAGAGACAGGTCATGTTATCCTATCATGTAATGGGGATATACTGGAATCTACACTACAGACCTAACTATTGTCAGTTCATTATCTACCTACGTATATATATTCACCCTATATCAACTGAGATACTATTAAAAATATATTAAATTTTAAGCATTTCAAAGTTCATATCATATAGTAAGAAATACTATGTAGTGTTATAGCCATATGCATTAAACATATACAATTATACATATATATTTTTTGTGTGTGTTCTATATGTACTGGAGTATAATGGAGACAGCAGGTCAAAGTGAATGGGGCTTTCACCTCACGGAATAGCCCAAGCGTTTAGTTTCAGAATTCAGCGTTTAAAAAAATGGTTGCAAGTCATAGAGGCGCCAGAAGTAATGTTGCCTCAGTCATAGGACGGCCCCGGAGTTAATGGTTAGGTTAGGTTAAGTGAGCAGTATGTTCCAATATAGGTAAACAGTGTACTGTGTCGTGGTAACGTCTAGGGGCCCTACTTGATTCGGTTGCCAGACATAATCGATAACTTTAAATCTAACCTAGCCTAACATAATCTAACCTAACCTAACATACACTAACCTAACCTAACATAATCTAACCTAACCTAACATAAACTAAACTAACCTAACATAATCTAACCTAACCTAACATAATCTAACCTAACCTAACATAATCTAACCTAACCTAACATAAACTAAACTAACCTAACAGGGTACTACCTCTTGTGGGTAGATAATATTTTCCCTAGAGTTATTTTGGTGTTGGTATTACAGTTAGGTGAAATTAATCAAGTGAAATAAATGCCTCATCTTGTAAACAACACTGAACTGAAGGCTACCGTGGGTATATTTACCATCCAGTACAGTATTCAATGTGATTTTAATCCCTTCAGAGTATCGCATTTTTAGGAGTGTAAAGAGATGTATTATTACTGTATTAACTAACAAAATAAAATCTGTATAATAAATAATACGTTGGGAACTCGTCACTGTCTCGGGAGTTCTTGCTTCAAGCTGGTGATGTACTGTACCTGGTGAAGAGGGATGTATCCCCTTAGAGATAATCATTAAAACTATCATGAATGGTGTTGTTTTAATCTCCAATATGGTTAGGTTAGGTTATACCATTGGATATTACCAGCATCCTAATGTATGTATTGGTACAGTTTGTTTACTTGCACATGTACATTGTATACCAGCAATGCCTAGAAATTTATTAAGTAAATTGATATAGTTTACATTTGGTTCAGCATGTATATATATAATGCAGGTACTGTATACAATTACCAATGAACCTAGACAGTACTGGAAAACAATAGTAAACACTAAGACAATTTAACCATAAATAACTCTCATTAACTTGTATGATGACGATTTTGTACAATAAATAAATATCTACCTAAACTCATAGCCTAGACGTGTAAGGAAACAGCAAAGTGAATGATTAGAATTGCGAGGTGGATTTGGAACACTTGAATGAAAAAGCCTTGGCTGGAGTCGGGTATTGTAGGTTAGTGATATAAACGGCTTTGTTTTGGCGTTTACCTGCGACCCATTTCTGTCCAAAAACAAAATAAAAAATATATAAATTACACAAGGGTAGTACGTCTTTTTGCCCATGGGTCGCCTCGCCACAAGAAGCGGTTATAACTTTATTTAATGTATCTTATGCATCTATTACTATAACGACCATCTGACCGAACAGTAAGCTGTCAAGTGGCAAAGTGACGAAGTGGACACACATCTAGTAGAGGAAAAAATGGAGGTTTACAATTTAGTTTAGTGTGCCCTAATAGTGTCTCTTTTTCTGAGTACAATAAAGAAAAGAAAATGGATTCTTTTTGAACGATAACTTAATTAAAAAGGTAACTATGCTTCTTAAGTTAATTGCATTGTCACTTAAAAACGACCTAAATTCACATAGTTCCTTGCTGTAACACGAGCTTTAAAGAAGACACAGTGGCGGCACTTCAGTCATTAAAAACGGTTCAGTAACCGTTCTATTAGCGCGGTGTCCTTAATACGTCACCTGTAAAGCAACCTTTCACTATACTGTCGTTAAGAAAATAGAAAAACGAACAATTACTTCACCAGGGTTCATATTGACGTTATATGTGTGTTTACCTGATAAACGTTAGCACCTGAACACACCTGACCTGTTCCACACAACCACACCTGCCACCCCCCACACACACACCTATCAGTCAAACACCTTGGAATTAGCCATTAAGTGGTAGCTTAGTGGTGGTGGTGAGGATCGCCCACACACACACCATCACAAGCTAATAGTTCATCTTTGGCACTATGATCCATTGACTGTGATAGCTTTATTTAACGATTGGGGTGAAATGTTGCATCCTATTGTTGTTTGTCAAGTTTATTTGTTATGTTGAACTTCTCATTTTGTGTTATTTTCTGTTAAGATGGTTATGTTACGTAAGGTTAGGTTAGGTTGGTTAGATTAGGTTAGGTTCGGGTTAGGATGGTTAGGTTAGGTTCGGGTTAGGATGGTTAGATTAGGTTAATGTTAGGTTAGGTTAGCTTAAGGGTGGTTAATCTTGAGGCGAAATAAGCTAGGGGCTAATTTTCAGGAAGATCCAAGAAGAGGTGGCGAGAGATCCTGTACAAGACATATACACAGGATCCTCACTATCTAAAAAAATTATCAACAGTGGCACTCGAGGGCGTCTTAGGGCTGTGTGACACATGGCGAGGGAGTATCACAGGTACAAAACTTATGAGTTACCATTCTACAGGTGATAAGGCCCCGCAGGTGTTAGGTGAATGGAGCCACATCCAACCACACCCGATACAACGTTATCAGATATTCCTGTCCTCAATGTGTCAATTACCTTTCATGTTATTGTATTACCTCAAGACAACATTACAGGTACAGATACAACAACAAGTGCAGATGCAAAAACTAAAGATATTCTCAAGAACTCTGATTAATCTTACTTGTCGTTCTTCGGCATTATCAGTTCAAGCGTTGACTGTTAACTCAATGTTCATTTTGGGTGTTCAACTGTTCATCTTGTGAGTACCGTGAGATCTTCAGTTGCTCTCTTGTGTTTTATTTAATTACACGTTGATTAATTATTTCGTATGTGCTTTTTCCGTCATATTCTTGCCTTAATTTTCTAAAGATTGTAATTTTTCTGAGCGCGTCCTGTCACCCACGTTTGTTAATTGTAAAAAACAAACAAATCAGATGTATTTACGAATATGAATATCGAAAAAAAATCTACACTTAGGCAACTTATTAAATATACGATACAGAATATTATTATAATTAAATTTAGTTATTTTAAGTAGCTCTATATTTATTTTGTATAAATATATTCATTATCGATTACTATAGATCTTGACTTGACATAGGAAATTGACCCAAACCAATCTAGCGGAAACTCTATATTAATTTTGTGTCTGACAACTTGTAGAAATAACGGCGGAAAAAGGTGCCTTAAGACCATCATGTGGAAGGAGACAAGACAGACTGGCGCAGACAATGGCTCAGAACTAAAAGGCTAAAGTCTATCTGCAAAATGATTTAGTAGGTAAGAAAGTTAGACATGTCGAGTAGCTAGATAGACAGATAGATAAGTAGATATAGATAAATAGACAGGTAGAAACTATACAGATAAATATATAGGTTTAGACAGATTATGAGACAGGTAGAATCATTTATTGAGTAATGAAGTAGTGGAATAAGTAACCCATAATGTTTAAAATGAATGTAAACGTTACCTGGTGCGCAGCGGTCGTCAGTTGTCTCGGTGCGGGAGGATTGTGGTACAGTGAGACCCACACACTGGTTTCACTTCAGCTTCTCAGTTCACCTGTAGAGTTTGTGGAGGTCGGGTGTGACATACGTCGCTGCGGGCTGGATGTATCCACTATGTTTTATTTAATTAGATAGCATATGTTTAGTGTTTCATTTTGAAGAGGAGAAAATTTTCGTTAGAGTGAGTCATCAAAATGTCAGCAGAAGGTATTGATAGTCGCTGAAAATCGAGAAAAGTGTGACCCAGATCGTTGGGTTGGTGATGTGCATACTTGCCCGCAGGGGACCAGAGGTGTGTGTTTTGTTTATCGCAACTTATAGAACACACAACACTATATCATGGATCCCTGGAAGACTAAATCGAGGATTATAGCCTGCTTGTGTATCCTCTCTACCTTGATCACGCAGGTAAGTTCAGCTGCGTGCAGGAGATGTGTGTGTGTGTGTGTGTGTGTGTTTTGCTCCCCCCTTTACCTGTAGAAAGTTCGGGCAGTCAAGCCCACCTGTTGTGTTTCTACTGTGACTACACAAACGGCGTCTATAATCTTATACCGCCTCCCTGTTGATATTTAATATTATCCTCATTAATTTATTAGGAAGAATTACTTTTAAATATGTTTTAAATTTTGATGTTTTGGTTACGTAATCTTGAAGGTAAAGATCCCTGAAAGTTTCAAAACTTTTTAAAACTTAAGAGTCGTGGGTGTTCAGTACGTGCTGTTCTTGTGGTTAATGTTCTGTGTGGCGTTTGTCTATTTTTCTACACTTATTGTGTTTGTTATTGACCTCTTGTGTTTGTGTGTTCTTGCATTATTGTTCTCTACTCTTTGTTAGGTGTTTGTTTTCTTAGTTTGTTGTTCCCTTGTATTTCTGTATTTTTTGTCATGTTGTATTCCTGCATTATTTGCCTCGTGTTTGTGTGAATGTGTGCGAGAATGTATGCTCCCTCACTGTTGTCAAGTACTTGTTGCTGTGGTGACGCACTTTTGTATGTGCACATTCATCATTATTGACCACCAAATTGATAGTCATGCTATGGGCGTGTTTTGGTATGAACGATGAACGCGTATACAAGTAACTACGCCTTCTTGCCATATCTAACGCAAAACTTTAGACACAAAGGACAAGCGCTACGTAATATTAGAACTTTTGAAATATCTTACCCATCCCGTCCACCAAAAGCAGATTTATTTAGTACGATATGGACAAGCTAATATTGTTAACTTACTGTACCTTGTAAATGTACCGTATGTGAGATGGAAAATGCATTGTCTATCATTATCGTGGGGAAGTAAATGTCTCGTTCATCATAAGGTTGTCGCTGTATAACTATTCAAATACCTCATTAATAGTTACCGCAGTGTGGTATCCGAGCACGAGGGAATAATTATAAGCTTGTGAATGGCCTTGTAGTCCCTGTGACGCTTAAATAGTGAATCACTGTCGCTCCTAAATCAACTACTATACTGTCTTGTCATACGTCATTGCTTATCTGTATAATGTCATGGAGAGCACTGTGGCCGAGTGGGTATATCACTCGCCTCTTGACCCAGCTGCCACAGGTTCGTGTCCACAGGCCAGCGAGCACCATCACTTGACCCAGCTGCAGGTCAAGGAGCTACAGTAGTAGTTTACTCTTGGGGCAGTGGAAGGCTGCAGAGTATATTGCCGAACACGCTGTCACCTTTATTACAAGTCTTCATTGGGAAATTACTTTACTGCCCTTAGTACTTTGTAGACTATCTCTCCTAACAGGCCTGTGGAGAACACTTTCATGTGCTTTGAAAATGGTTAACTACCGTAGAGAAACCGGATATAATTAGGAGTAATAGTTCAGGTACGGAAGGGCGTTAACAGTTACGTCATGCGAATTCCACCAATCAGTGATCATTATCTACTCATTAAAGTACTTCCTTGCGATGTCCTGTTTCTTGAACGTGCGGAAATTAACTTTCAGTCTCAGCCTAATTCTCCAGGATTATCATTTAGCTATTTCCCTTTCTCGGTGCTTGATCAATAGGGCAAGTAATATCGCTCCCGTAGCCACTTCAAGTCAATAAACGACTAGACGTGATTAAATAAGAACCTGAATCAATCTACCGACTTACAGGTGTCCAGCCTCTGAGATGTAGATTACGTGTACGCATATCGGTAAGTCGCCTCTGTCATAGCGAGCAACGACAGGGAAACAATTCAAAACTTGTAAAGGAACACATATAATATTGAGGAAATTAACTGCTCAATTTAATGTTTTTATGAGGCAGTAGCTACCCAGTGACACACATGAGCAGCTTCTTCCTGTTTTAGACTCGGCTCTCTGATAAGTGGCCCCAGTCTTACCTTCAAGGCAATTAGAAACTAATCTTGTACCTGTACTACCCGATGACATTTGGCTCTTATTAGATATTGTTGTTGTTTTGTTTAGGTCATTTTATTCTGGGTAACATAACTTCATGGAGTGTGCCTGAGAAGTTTCTAGAGCCCTCGAGAGAAACTTTGTTGATGTGTGTATACCGGGTAAGTCTTTATCCCGTGTAGTGTTCTGCGTCTTATTTTACGTCACATTATATTCTGTGTCTTAGTTTACCATTATTAACTATATAAATACATCATACAAGCCATTACTTTCATTAGTTATATACATGTATTACTCTAAATAAACCTATGCACTATATATTATGATTTCAGTAGAATGTATAGAAGAGGCTGTTGCTTTCTACACGATGTCCCCCGTGTTTTGTTAGCCCCAATGTGTGTGTGTGTTTACTAACCACCAACTGATATTGATCTGTGTGGATTAGGGATGATACCATTTATTACTGAGACTTTTACAATGACTGTTTGTTCAAGTTCAAAACAATTTTAGTACATTTATGCTGTGAATGACCTTTATAACATCTACCATGAACATTAACACCTGTACATTTGTTTAATATCTTTGAATAATTAATACATAGATAGTAAATGACATATAATTGGTCCACATTTTGTTAATAAAGTTTACGTTTATTAGATTTATTGTAAAACTTAAAAAAAAAATAATACTGTATAATCTGGTAGCGTCTGGTGGGGTTAGGGGGAAACTTAAAATTGTAGTTGGTTCCTTTTTCCGGATGACCTTACCAGAAAATTTTTTAAGTTGGGGGAAAAAAGTGGAGTCGTCGTCCTCGGTGTTGGCGTTCCACATAAAATGGTCCTTCATATCACATCGGTGGTGGCTATACTAGTGTAGAAACAACCAATAAACACATTATTATTATTATTATTATTATTATTATTATTATTATTATTATTATTCCTCTTCCACTTTTGTGTGTAGTGGATCACGGGATGAATAAACCTCTAAGGGGGTAAATATTAGAACAGTGCAAAGTGTGTGTGGAAAGCGATGCCTCAGGAAAGTGCTAAGATAACCACAAGAAATATCCACACAGTATGTAAAGTGATTGTCAACATCCATATTGATTCACAACGCGTTCATATAAGTGTTGTTGTGTGCACATTATTGTGAATGTGTACGTTAACATTCTCACGTACACATGTGCTACGAACATATGATTTTCGGATAGCATAATTTAGAACTTAAAATATTGTTATAAACGGTTCATTGATTCGAACTAAACCCTTACCTTTGGAGTATATATCGTAGCGGTGTTACATAAGTGCATTTTTCCCACCTTGAACTTTTTTATTGCTATTTTTTTTTCCTTTTTAGACGTAATATATTGGAAGGATTGTGACTGGAAGACCACAAACATATAAGGGAGAGAAGCGGGAGAATGTGCGGTGTAATGTTAAGGAGCTATCGAGTAATTCAGGCACCCGTGAGATGATGATGTGAACGTTTGGCCATTAGGGGGTACAAGACTCCACCAGGCTGTTTTAATGACACTATATTAGGAGTAAAAGTGTGGCGTGTGTGTCGTAGTGGCTGACCATTTTATCACATGTGTCAGGCAAGGCCACGCCCTCTCCACCCCTCATTCGTCTTAAAATGAATACAAGTGTTGGGCAATGATGAACCAGTTATGGGTATTTCTTGTTAATTCTTCACTTGTTTTAATTTGTTTCCTATTGTTGTTAGAAAGTGCGATACGAAACCGGTTCTCACTTCCTCTCCAGATTGCCCAAACATTCATTCACGTCTCAAACGGTCGAGCAAATGTATTTGTTTGTGTGTTTACCGGGGAAAGTGTATGAATTATCTTGAGAATAAACTTAGCTTCTGGCTGTTAATGTTGAATGTGATGATTTAATAAACAGAACGACAACTGGGTGACGATATGCTTGGCGGGATTCATGAATTTTATGGTGCTGTGTACAAGGCACGAGTGTGTGAGTGATTGCATGCACGCAAGGCTTTCATACTGTAGTGAGTGAATGTGGCGGTGAGTGGTCGCTGCTTTAACAACTCGTCATTACTCCTGCCAGACTCTAGAGAGATCCTCACAATATCCACCCATAACTGTGTAATTCGACTTTGTACCTTTTGTTATGATTTCTTTTCCCTTGATACCAACTTGACTACAACACAATAATAAAACTCTAAAAGTAACCTCTACTTCGTCATTATGGGTTCTGCGTGTTGCATGGATTTGAAAACAGAAGGTTGTAAACTGCACCGTACCGTAGAAAGTTACGGTTAGACAATGGCTTTAACTTCTCTATTGTGAAGTGTGTAAATATTACCGGCGGGTCTAGGATTTTTGATTAATTGTCTTGAACTGTCTTCATTAGGGCAAGACTGTGCACTGTAGCAGAAAGTGAAAGCCGCTTACTGTATGTGTATCTTAGTCAGGTCTATCCAGCTTGGTAGTGTCAAGGTGTTTGTTTACCGTAATTGTGAGCAGAACGGGTTGCTTTAGTCTCTGATCTACCTGTGTTGAGAATGGTGATGTGGTGAGTTCAGTATTAATTATGTGCTGCTTTTAACCACAACACTGGACAAACATTTTATTCTAAGTAGCATTGTGAAATATATACATTACATAATTAGTTATCAATGTTTTTTTAATCAATGGAATGGAGAAGTAATTATGACCATTCATGTTCCCTGATCATTTGTTACCATAATTAAGGCGTGGGACAGTTGACAATATATGAATAAATCACCTGAGTTTTTGTTTGAAACTTGTAGTCGACCGATGTGATATTTCCAAGTGACATTTAGGTTGGGGTTATAACTGAGCTTGGAATAAATTAGTCTTATTACATTCACAAAGACTTATACCCACTGTTACTACTAAAGATAAAGTCCTTTGGCATATAAGGTTATTTACTGTTAGCACTAAAGAGTAACTCGTCTTAAAAATGATTATATATCCAATTAGTGAGGAAGGGATTTTTTTATATAGCCAATTGGGAGCTGTTTACAACCTCGATCACCGCCACAGTAGTAGGGATTATAT